AAAAAGATCCCCATTTTTTCAAAAAATAGGGATTTGATGGGGAGCCCACATGGAACTTCAACTTAGTTTGTAAGTCTCGATTTATAGATCATCTTTGCAAAAATTCAATTCAATCCAAAATCATTTGCCTATTTAATTATCAAGATAAAATTTCATTGTTTCTTATATAACAAAGTATTTGTTAATTTTTTTTTTTATCCCAATTAGATGACTTAAATATCTCCGATAAGATGATCTATGAATGCAACTTGAAAAATAGACGGTCTCAATCATTAAAATTTGATGTAATGTGGACCCCACAATTAATTCCTATTTTTATAAAAAAATAAAGATCCCTTCTCTTAAAGACTTCATATACATACACACACAAAATGCAAAATATTTACCGTATTTAATAAACCACATACTGTTACAATTGGTGATTATATTTTTTCTAATAATTTAAAAATATAAATACAATTAAATGTTTTATATCACATTTGTCTCACAATACAGGTGAGACTCATTTGTATTAATAGATCTTACCTTTTTTAGAGAATTTGATATAAAAAATATAATAAACTCAATCAACACATCACACCATATAAATTATAAAATATGATTGACAAATAGTCTCTTTGTCGTTACCTTACAAAAATCACAAAGCTGCGGTGAAATCCATATTATATTTATAACAAGTACAAGCCACACAACAAAAATACCAAACATTCAACACTCTTCACTTTTCACATTCATCGGGATCTCAAATATCCCACACAGAATTGCTATGCAGCAGCAGATTCGGCTTCTCTGATCAGTGATCACCGGCCGTCGCTTTCATCTGAAACTCGAAGATGGTCCAACTCCATGGGAAGTTCAAGGCCTTCGTCAACAGCAGATGGCTGGTGTTTGTGTGTGCAATGTGGATCCAATCCTTTGCAGGAATAGGGTACCTGTTTGGGAGCATATCACCTGTGATCAAGTCCACCATGGGCTACAGCCAGAGAGAGGTGGCGATTCTTGGAGTGGCCAAGGACTGGGGGGATGCTGTAGGGTTTGTGGCTGGAAGCCTGTCTGAAATATTGCCCACCTGGGGCATTTTGGTCATTGGAGCAGTCCTCAACTTTGTTGGTTATGGCATGCTTTGGCTTATTGTCTCTCAGAGATTGCCTGCTTTGCCTCTCTGGGTGGTGAGTTAACTTGTTCAACTTCAATCCAAGTCTCATCATCAAAGTTTTCTTTTGGGATCTGCTACACAGATTTTATCATAGCTCCTCTCCATATTTTTGCTAGGATTTCAGTTTTTGTTTTTATGAATGGTTTTAGATGTTCGGGACTGCTTCTGGAAGGGTTAAAAGTGTTTCTATATCATAAAAGCACTTTCTGGAGAAGTAAGGGACCTTCCTGCTTCTTTAGGAAACACTTCCAACTGTTTTTTTAGGAAGCACTTGGATTGTTAATAAAATTTCAAACATGTTTCTAATAATAGAACTTGTGACAAAAGTGCTTGTGAGTATAAGTGATTCCTACAAGTACAGTCTTGAATGAACCTGATATCGGATTTGGAAAGGATATACATCGAAAAAATTTTCTACTGGTAAATCAAATGACTGTACATTTTGTTGTCTTGTACTCTTTGTTGTACTGTTGAAATTCATATATTGAAATTTGCCATTTTTATCACAAAAGAAAATAATACAAAATTGAGTCTTGTGTGTATTCAGTTGGCATTGTTGTAGTCTTCCTAGTGTTTTTTTTTCTTCGCATAAACTGTCATACAGATTGTATTCGTGTCGAATCCGTGTAGTCTTCTGCATTTTTGTTGTGAGCAGAATTGCTAACCAGGTTTTATTTTTCATTTTCTCCTTCTGTGCAGCTCTGCATTTGTATATTTGTGGGAACAAACGGAGAGACGTTCTTCAACACAGCAGCATTGATATCATGTGTGCAGAACTTCCCCAAAAGCCGGGGTCCTATAGTCGGGATCCTAAAAGGCTACGCCGGTCTGAGTGGCGCGATATTGACTCAGATTTACGCAATGATCAACTCCCCTAATGAATCATCGATGCTTTTTATGATTGCAGTCGGCCCATCAATGGTTGCCATTGCTCTGATGTTCATTGTTAGGCCTGTGGGAGGCCACAAGCAAGTCAGGCCATCTGACAATTCAAGCTTCCTATTTACTTACAGCATTTGCCTTGTTCTGGCAGCTTACATGTTGGGAGTTTTGCTCCTCGAGGATTTAATCAACATAAGTCAACCTTTGATCACAATGTTTGCAGTTATCCTAATCATTCTCATTCTGCTTCCAATTGTGATCCCTGTCATACTGGTTTTCTTTTCCGACCCAACACATTCGATGCAGGAGAGCCTTCTCGTTGAATCGCAGGGTGAAGAAGCTGGAAAATCTGAGGAGGACAAGACTGAAGTCATTTTTAGTGAGGTGGAGAGTGAGGTGGAGGATGATAAGTCCCTGGAAGTGAACTCGCTTTCAGTGTCCGAAAGACAGAAGAGAATTGCTCAGCTGCAGGCTAAGCTGTTACATGCAGCTGCGGATGGAGCAGTGAGGGTTAAGAGGCGAAAAGGCCCTCGTAGAGGAGAGAATTTCACCTTGATGCAGGCATTGGTAAAGGCAGATTTTTGGCTCATAGTATTTTCCTTATTTCTGGCTGCTGGATCCGGCTTGACAATTATTGACAACTTAGGTCAGATAACTCAGTCACTTGGTTACAATGATTCGAGTATTTATGTTTCCATGATCAGCATTTGGAACTTTCTTGGACGCGTTGGGGGCGGTTACTTCTCTGAGATTATAATAAGGTGACATAATGTAGAGCCATAAAATTGAGTACTTTTTTTCCTTACACATATTTCGCACGATGACTTGCTAGTCCTCATGTGCATGTTTGTTCTTTTACCAGAGATTACGCTTACCCTAGACCCGTGGCAATGGCGGTAGTTCAGGTCATCATGGCATTCGGGCTTTTCTACTATGCCATGGGATTTCCAGGGCAGATTTATGTGACAACTGTGCTGGTAGGACTTGGTTATGGTGCTCACTGGGCAATTTTGCCAGCTGCAGCCTCGGAGCTCTTCGGGTTGAAGAGTTTTGGGGCCTTGTACAATTTTCTTACAATGGCAAATCCCGCTGGTTCTCTTATATTCTCAGAAGTGATTGCTAGTGGAATATACGATCACTACGCGAAGGAACAAGCCACGCTCAGACACCAAATTTCAGGTTCAATGCTCATAAAACCCCTCCGCGATGAGGACTCACTCACTTGTGTTGGCACTGTATGCTATTCCATCACATGTGGAATACTCTCAGGACTCTGCATTGTTGCATGTGTTTTAAGTTTAATCGTTGTTTACCGGACTAGGAGGGTTTATACGCAGCTCTATGGATCGAGCACTTGAGCTGCGAAAGCAAAAGGGCTACTGGATACCTACGGCGATCAGCACATTGCGTCTGAAAGGACTTTCTTCCTACGAATCCAAGTCCCCTGTGGGGATTTTTCTCTGAACATGAAATTGAATTCTTTTCTTCTCTCGTTTACAACGGAAGAACAATTTGAAAGATTTGCAGAATATTTCATTGATTACGATCTGCGATGAGAAATTAATAATGTTTCAACTTCTTGATATTTATATGTAAACAACAGATGCAGTTGCAGAAAAGGTACAATCTTTGTCATGGAAATCTTTTGTTAAAACAACATCAATAGCTTCAAAAGGCTGAGATTTCTTGAGGTTTAAGGAAAGATACCTCGAAAGTGAAGCCCATCAAGCGGCCCAAAATCCAGTAGAACGCTAAAAAGCCCACAATGCCTGATGGGCTTGGTCTTCTGTTTGTCTAATAAGGTAATTAGGTAATTTTCTTACATAATATGGCTAGTTTTGTTGGTACCACGTCAGCATGAAATGGATATTTTTGGTCAAAATAAAAGGAAAGAGATCCTCTTCAAATATGTTCCACCAAAGCTACTGAATCAAGTGATTTGAGTTTTTAAAATTTGATCAAACGGCTAAAAACATGGGCTCCTTTTAAAAGTTATAATAATTTTAACCGTTTAATCAAATTTCAAGGATCCAAATTACTTAATCTGATGATCTTAGTGGAAGAGATCCAGAGAGGATCTCTTTCCAAAATAAAATCTACATACATGCGTATCTACCGAGAGAATCTGAGGTGGCATACAATGCATTATGTTTGCCACAAAATCTAGACTGTATTTACAAACTAATTGATATATTAATTAAGTTTTAATTCAATTCAAATATATTGTTATAAGGAGCAATATTCGTGTGTCATTTATTTAATGTGTAGCCTTGCGAAGTTAGTTACGGTGAATCTTTGATTGCTTCTTTTAAATAGATACGCTTGTATAAATTGATCAACAGCTTAAAAATGTGATTGAAAAAGATAATACGTAATATAGCATCAAAGAAAATAAAATAAACTTACGCAAAACATATAGTAAAACAAGATGACATGTTGATTTTCTTATATTCCTAATCAAATTTTCCATATTAGGTAAAAATAAATATGGAAATATAGGAAAGTGGCAACCATGTAAACAAAAAATTAGGCCAATTGCAACAATGGTCACTATATATTAATTGAGATTTCACTTCTGTCCTTCTAAAATTTTTGTTTTGCTTTCTACATGGACGAAAGTGAAGTCTCAAATAAACTAGGACCATTCTTGCAAATCGGCACAAAACTTAACCATGGTTAGGGTTTTAAAATGGCCAAGTGGCATGATTTACAAAAATTGAAACTGCAGCGATGGTCCTTAGAGTTTTTTCACGATTTCACTTTCGCCATTGTAGATTTTTTTTCGTTTCACTTTCTACAAGGTCAAAATTGAAATCTCAGGTAAACTACAGGGACCGTCGTTGCAATTTTGCCAAAAGGTTAACCTTGGGTAGGGTTTTAACCATAGGCCAACCAATGCTTAGGTGGCATCATTTTACAAAAGCCGATGCTACCTATATATATATATATATATGTGAAAAAAATACGTACATGCAAAATATCTCAACTATTGAATGAATTTCACCAAATAAAAAATTGGGATTACTTGAATTTTGATCAGGGCGAACAGAGGGCGAGCATAAGAATTTTATGGAGAATTCATCAATGGCGTATCTGCGATCACAAAATTGAAATGGGTAAATTTCATCTCTCTTATATATATCTGTTTGTATATGGTTTCACTGTGGCACGTATGGAATTTTTTGTTTTTTTTGGCCCTTTTTTTTCTCATAAATTCTTAGTAATGCTAATAAATTTCTAGGGTTTTAGGCAAAGCTACTGAAATTGGGTAGGTTGAATGCGTGATTTGAACTCTTATTGGCAGCTGATTTGGATTGTTTGCATGTCTGTTTGTTTGTGCGGGTTTTGCATATTTCATCATATATCTTCAAATTTTAGTAAATTTGAGAACGGGAGGTTGGTTTTTGTTCTTAAATTTTCAAATTTGGAGCTTGGTTTTTCTGTTTGGATTGTAATTTTTGTTCATTCGAAGTGTTTGATAGCTGAGATTTTACTTCTAAGAGAAATTCTCATTTGGCCTTGTGATGAATTGTGGGAAACGAAAACTTGGAATTCAGATATATCCATACACCCTGTGATCTGTCATTAGGTTTACAAGCGTTTCGCAGGAACAAAATAGGCCGTTAGGATTTTGTTTTACTGCCTCTTGTTGATTGGGATCATGATTTTTCTGATTAGTGGCTGAATGTGAAATGTGTGTGGCATTTCAATCCGTAATGTACTTTTCTTGATTAATCCTTTGTTAATTTGGAGTTCAGTGTTTAACTTGTTGATTTTATGGAGACATGATTTCCCGCGTATTTTGTTTGATCGTTGAATTGAGTATTAAAGATTCGGTAACTGATATATCTTAGGAAGATTGGATAGCTGAATGTGAAATGTGTGTGGCATACAAATTCTGTGATTCTCAATGTACTTATGGTAATTCATCCTGCATTTATTTGGAAGTTCAGCGCTTTAACTTGTTGAATTTGTGATTTCCCGCGTACTTTGCGTTGAATTGAGGATTCTAGATTAGGAGGTGTTAAAGATTCGATAACTGATATATCTTAGGAACATTCTATAACTGAACGTGAAGTTTGTGTTGCATTTCAATCATATGATTCTCAATGTACTTTTTTAATTCATCCATTGTTTAGTTGGAAGTTCAGCGCTTTAACTTGTGAAATTTTGTGGACACGTGATTTCCCGCATATTTTGTTTGATCATTGAATTGAGTATTCTAGATTAGGTGTACAAGATTCGGTAACTGATATATTTGAGGAAGCATTCATTAGCTCTTTTTTTCTAGGTTTGTAGTCGTCTTTGATTAATCATGGCCGTACTGCTTGGGATAATCTTCGTGTGTTTAATTAATATCCGAGTTCAATTAGTTTCCTTATTGTGGTTTTCTGTTTTCTGATTGCAGCTGCTACAATACAAAGTAACTTGTTAATGAGGCGTGGAGTGTTAGATAAAAACAATACCCGGGTTTATTCTTGTTCACAACGTGGAAACGTGGCGGCCTACCAATAAAAGAAGTACCAAAGGAAATAACGTGGGAAGATAGAGTCACCAACATCGTGAAAATGGAATGTAATAAAGACGAGGCCCTCAGGGCGAAAGAGTTCGCAGAGTTGAAGTTTACAGAGCGTGATGTCTCTGGGGCTCTAAGATTTGCTTTAAAGGCCCAAACCTTGTATCCCGAGCTTGATGGTCTTCCTCAACTTTTGACAACTCTTCATGTTCACACCTCCGCTCAGAAGGGAACAAATGGGGAGACCGATTACTACAAGGTCCTCAGTGCGGAACCGTTGGCTGACAAGGACACAATCCGAAAGAAATACAAGAGACTGGCACTCTCTCTCCACCCAGATAAAAATAAATCTGTAGGCGCAGACGCTGCTTTCCAAATTGTTAATGAAGCCTGGACTTTGTTGTCTGATAAAGACAAGAGATTTCTCTATGACCAGAGGCGGAGCTTAGGATACATGCTTGAAAGAGTTCCAGATGGCAACTTTTCTGCAGCAACTAGTCAGAATGGTTTTCATACCTCCTCCAACTATAATCATTCAAACGGAAGGGATCAGTGGAGTGCAACCTATACCGACCATGTTGCAGCAATGAGTCAGAATGGTTTCCATACCTTCTCCAACTGTAATCATCCAAACGGAAGGGATCAGAGGAGTGCTTCTTACCATATTAGAGCAACAAGTCAGAATGGTTTATATACCTCCTCCAACTACAATCATTCAAACGGAAGGGATCAGAAGAGTGCTACTCATACTGAGCATGTCACTGCAATGAGTCAGAATGATTTTCATACCTCCTCCTACTATCATCATTCAAACCGAAGGGATCAGAGAAGTGCTACTCATACCAATTCTATTAGACCTCCTTCTCCACCAAAACCGACATTTTGGACTGTGTGCAGTAGTTGCAAGATGCAATTTGAGTATCTTTGGACTTATCTGAACCAATATCTTCTGTGTCACAACTGCCGTCAGCGCTTTTTAGCTTCTGAGACACCAGCCCCCAAAATGCCCAATGGTAGATCAACTCCATGGGTTTCCTACTTTCAGCGAAAGGGTTCTAGGCAGCATAACAGGACCATGAATACATGTGCTCCAGGAAGTTCACAGACTGCTACCATTAATGTGAAGTTAGCAGGAAATTCTGGAGTTGACACATCAACAAAAAAATTTCCGGCAGGATTCTTCAAACCGGCAAGTTTTGAAAGTGAGCAATTACGAGGTTCCTGTGCTGGTCAAACTGCAAGTGACGTTCGCCCAGGATTTGGGGAACTGAAGAGAGGGCATGAAGAGGTGGTTCTAAATAAGGAGGCGCATAAGTGGAATCATGAAGCTTGTAAGAAAACAGATGCTACCTTAGCGTCTGGGTCTCTTGGCGCTGCTTCCAGTTCCGTACCCAAAGAGAGGCCTAAAAAGAAAAGGCATCTGAGCAGGCAAGAGATGGGAACTCAAATGGGAATAGCAAATGGAGGAGTTGCTATGAAAAGTGTATTCGGACTGTACAAGGGTAGTGTTGGTACAGGAAGGTTTGATGTAGCTGCAGTGGATAGTGTCTTGATAGAAATGGCTAAGAAGGAAATTTCCCAGAAGCTTAAAGTGTGGAAGGAAGCTGCTGCACCGAAGACTTCATTTACATCAAAAAATGCAGATAATAACCAGGTGAAAGAGAAGCAAAAGGAAGAAGCTGGCCTGCGTGGTGTAAAAATTAGTGTTGCAGGATGTAGGGCATTTGTGAATCCCAAGAAGTCTTCCCTTGCCAATTCTCATGTTGACGCTGATGTCGAGGAAGCTAATACAGTGGCAATGACTGTTCCAGACCCTGATTTTCATGATTTCGACAAGGATCGTACAGAAAAGTCATTTGGTAGCAACCAGGTTTGGGCTGTCTATGATGAAGATGATGGCATGCCCCGTTATTATGCCATGGTTCACAGTGTGATATCATTGAAACCATTCAAACTTAGCATGAGTTGGCTAAATTCGAAAAGTAACATCGAAATTGCTCCACTAGATTGGATTGCTTGTGGTTTTTCTAAGACTAGCGGGGAACTTCGGATAGGGAAGCATGTAGTCTATAAGAATCTTCCTTCTTTCTCACACAAGGTGGTTAGGTGGAGAAAGGGCAAAAGAGGAGTTGTCTGCATATATCCAACAAAAGGAGAAGTGTGGGCACTATATAGGAACTGGTCTGCTGTTTGGAACGAGCATACCCCAGATGACGTTATTCACAAATATGATATGGTGCAACTGCTTAATGATTACAACGAGGAGCAAGGTCTGACAATTGTCCCACTGGTTAAAGTAGCTGGTTTCAAAACAGTGTTCCGCCAACATTCGGACCAAAGTAAAATCGTGAAAATTCCAAGGGAAGAACTCTTTCGTTTCTCTCACCAGGTCCCTTCTATCACGCTCACCGGTCATGAAGGTCCCAATGTTCCGAAAGGATGCTTTGAGCTTGATCCGGCAGCTACTCCGTCGGAACTGCTTCAGGTGGAATCAGAAGAACGTGAAGATGACATGGAGGTGACAGGTGAAGGATGTAATGGTGAAGACCCAGTGGGATTGTTGAAGAGCACCAAGGAAGAGGCTGTGGTGGATAATGGCAAAGTAACTACAGAAACGGGCTTGATAGAAGAGGCTGAGAAAAAAGATTTGCAAGACATGATGAAGAGGGAGGAGGAACCCCAAGGGCCGAAGTTGCTAGTGTATAGTCGGAAACGTTTCAGGAAATACAAAAAGAAGGGTGCTGACTGCTAAGTGATTGCAGCTTTAGTGGACTCATCATCAACAGAAGTGGAAGACTTACAATCTCGTATCCACCTGTGGAACTGAAAGTTCATCCCCTTTTACTGCATCTTCTTCTCCAGTTAGGCAGGGCAGTTATCATGAGTTGCAAGACTGAGGTATATCGCTTTTAGTTCTCTTATCTTTACATTGATAGATCCACAGTTTTGTCCGAAGGCGTGCAAATGCCGTTGAGACCAGTTTCAGTCGTATTTTCAATTTGAACCACAGTTTAGGAGCTTTCACTTTCAAAGTTTTAATACCCGGGGGAGCACTCTTTTTTTTTTTTTTTTTTTTTTTTTTTGTAAGTTTTTGTTGTTGCAGCTGGTCGAAAATGCAGACCTCGGAGCTGCTAGATCTTTTAATTGGTATACCGAAAAATGGTTTATAGGGTTTGTTTTCTGTGTTATACCAAACTTGGATAAACTCTTGAGCCAAAGCAGAAAGAGTGAACTGAATGAAATTTTCAAGTTGTTAGTTCCTCATTCTACGTGCTCTTGATTGCTATTCCCATGTTTTTATCATATACTTGATTCTTGACCATATTACATTTCAGCATTTCACATTCACTTTTGAGGGATTTTGAAACCGAATCACGTTATTTGTCTTGTAAATGTTTTAGTCAGTTTCTACAAGTCTTGTGTTTTTCAAAGAAAATGCTAAGATTGCAGGAACCCTGGTAAAATCCCTTTGTGTTTTTCACTTCTTACATTTTGCCTGTACAATCCATAGCTTTGAGTAAATAAATGGTACCAAAAACTGAGTTGCACAAATGTTCCCATATGAAAGAAGTAAAAATAGACTTTGGTACGTGAAAAAATGCAGTGTAGAATTAGAGAGAAACATCGGCATGGCAACTAACACGAGATGAGAGACCATTATAAATAGGGTCTTATGTTTTTGTGCGAGCTGCCTTGAGAATGACGGAAATTTCGATAGAGCAGTTTCCACATCAGTTGAGACTAAAATACATTAGATCTTATGTTATTTGTGAAAACATCGTTGGCATTGCAAATGACAAAAACATCGCTGGCGCTGCAAGTTTTTCTTTAGAAAGTTTGAGTGTGTTGCAATACAGCAGTGCATGAAAACCAGATAAGAGTACGACTCTCTCATTCACTGCTGTATAAAGTAAGAGACAACAGGCATCACATCAGTCAACAACAAAGTGTTTGCTTTTGGATCAGGATCCTCTCCTGATTTTAAAAAACTGAGTTTGCTGAGCAAATAATCATGATCGTTGAAATTTGATTCAACGGCTACAACCAGGAAGACTCCTTCAAAATTATTGTAGTTGTTGGATCAAATTTTAACGGTTACGATTGCCTGCTTAGCAGGCTTAGTTTTTTAAGGTCAGGAGAGGATCCTAATCCTTTGCTTTTGCTCATTGACTTATAAATCTATTTTTTAATAGTTGACAGCCCTAACTGTGCAGATAGTTTTTTGAGAAATTTTTCGGTATGCCGGAAATGTGGTTTGGTACATTAATATATTTGGTGGGCTGGATATGATACGTTGTGATTAATTAAAATGAATTTGAATTCAGTTCGTTATTTGTTGTGTCAAAATGTGAGATGAGCAGAACTGGACATGATGAACTATGAATCCACAATAAAATAGGCTATCTGACATATCATCTAGCCCACCAACTAAGCCCTATTATAACAATGGGTGGGAATTTTTTATTTTTTTTTTCAAACTTCTAACTAGTTATATTATTACACTTAATGTATCAGGCCACGTGTTCGGCACACTGAAAAATCTCCCATCTTTTGCTTCAAACTGATATTGGTGCAACGCCACGTGGAATTTGCTAAAAGAAGGGGATTTGTTTTTTTATCAATAAAAAGAAAGAAGGAATCAACCTTTTCAATTGAAAAAAAAAAAATTTGAACATATTTAATTTGTGAAATTAGAATTGGAATTTACATACACTTATATCATGCACTAGTACCTATGGCGTAGTTTGAATTTTCAAATAATGAGGTTATAATATCAATCAAAAAGTTTTATTGGGCTATTTTATCAAATACCTAATCGGCATCTGCCAATTTCTGTCAACATATACTAAAAGTTTATGCCAATATATGTCAATAATTACTATTATTTGTAAAGGCTTGTCAAGGGTGGATGCAATATGCTATGGAGTAATATCAAAGATTGCCAAGGCTTTTCAATTAAAGTATTTCATGAGCACTTAATGCGCACAATAGAGTCACACAAAAAGAGAGAAAAGAAAGACAAATATGATAGAATAAAATAAAAAGAAGTAGGAGGAGGAGGCTGTAATTTACTTTGCCTTAGCTATTTGTAGGGGTCACATACAATACACAAAAAAATATACATGGAGTTTTTGAAATTGTTGGGGATTAAAGACGATTAATAACCCTATGTTGGCTCTGCCACTAAATGCAAGCATAAAAGAGATTGACGTATGTGATAGAATATTTTGAAGTTTTAATAATACAAGAAGTGACTTTTGCACTCTTACTTTTTTCTCATAGCACATCTCTATTCATTTTTTTTTTTAGTTTTTGAAAGTGAATAAATCAAAGAAAAATCAACGAGTATAAATAAACCAGGATGTGCAGAACAAAAAAGATCGGTGTTCTAAAATCATTTCCAAATAAAAATCCCTCTACATTGTATTTCATTTCTTCCAAGATACTAAACTCCTCTGAGCGAGACGTTTGTGTATAAGAGCAAGTCCACCGGGGACATTTAGGCTAGCACCTAACAGCCAAAATGGCCCGGCACCCAGCTAATCCTCTCCAGCCCAGACCCCTAGGTCAGTTGACAGCCCAAGCTGTCCCATAGGCTAGCCCAGAATGTGTTGAACCAAGGCGCCGCCTATGTGACGTCATGCTGATACTAGCGTGACGTCACAATCCATATAAATTTTTCTTTTTTGCACTAGGCGTGTGGGAAGCACGCGCGAGCGGGCGCGCGCCCCCAACAAGAAAACATGGGTAGGGCCCTCATGCGCAGGCGCACTAACGGCTCTTACGGGGAGGGCATGTGGCTCGTTCTGGGTTGTTAGATTTCCAATGCCTAGTTTTCTGGACCGTTGGATTTCCAACGGTAAAAAAAAATTGAATTTGAAATCCAATAGCTAGTGACATGGTGTGATTTGGGACGTCCGATCCAGCGATCAACGGTCCACATTTTTCAGTCCAAATTTTTTTTTTAAAAAAAGGGACAACGGTTAGAATTATGACCGTTGGTCATGTGTTAACATATAGGCTATTGGATTTGAATCTTTTTCAAATCCAACGGTCCAAATCAATTAACTAAATTAAAATTAATAAAAAATTATTAAAAATACAGAAAAAATTAAAAAAAAAATTTCTATAAATACCTAACCCTTATATTCTACCTTACACCACATTTCAATATTTTCAACACTTTCTACCAAAGCTTTCATATACTTTTTGTGTGAAAAAAAAATGGCTACGTGGAAGCTCATCGAAGATGTTACGTTGTGTGAATGCTGGGTTCAAGTCACTCATGACCCGATTACGGGTAATGGGATGGAGTTGTGAGAAATGTGGAGTAGAATTACGGAAACGTTTTGTGCCATACATGGAAAAGATGTCAGAAGTAGTCAAGGTCTTCAAGGGTGTTGGAAAAAACTCAACATATCCTTCACTTGTTGGAAAAACGCTATCTCGATTACTTCCAGTAATTTGCGTAGTGGGACAAGTTTAGCGGATTAGGTGACAATTTTGTAGACAGTACAAGCACAAGCATTCTACAATTCAAAGAACCACAACAAATCATTCAACAAATAGGAATGTTGGGAAAGGAAATTATCAAAAATTGTCCCAGATACAAAATTATGCCAACATGTCTAGAAGTTGTCATGCGCGACGTCCCTCTACACAGTTCGCCAGAACCAGACACATCCACACAGGAAGATGACACATTTGAAGAAGTGCCAGAAGGGACGCCCGAAGAAGTGCTGGAGACTTAGCTGACTCGTCGGTCCCTAAGGCCTTAAGGTAAAAAGGCGACAAAGAAAAAAAAGGAGTTCTTCCAAAAATGACTACACAAAATATATGGATGAACTTGCTTGTCAAGGTGAATTGAACATGGTGTAGGAAGCGGCTAGAGATGAGGAAAAAGTTATTACTATGGCAGCAATATTAGCAGCTAATGAGAGACAAAGAGAAATACTTAATCGAGAAAACGAGATGATTAAAGAAGCACTTAATTGAGAAAATGAGATGCTTAGAGAAAAAAGGATGGCTTAAGTAGATTGTGACACTATGAACAAGCCTTTAGTAGGACTGTCTCTAAATTCAAAATATTTTTGGACATCGGAAAAAAGAGACGTGGTGCAAATGAGGCGTGCAAGAGAAGCAGAAACAAGTCGAGGGGTTTCGAGCTACACAAATCCTAGCAACAAAGATCCTAGTTCCATAAACTTTGTATAATTTCGTATTTATTTGTAGTACTTTATTTAATTTCGTCTTAATTTTTAGTACTTTATGTAATTTCGTCTTTATTTTTATTACTTTTTGTAATTTCTTATTTATTTGTAGTACTTTATGTAATTTCTTATTTATTTTTAGTAATAAATTTAATCTCTTAAATATTTTTAGTACTTTATTTAAACACACCAAATAAACTTAAAAAAACACATGAAATAAAATTACATAAACCAAGAACTTTATTCTTCCACCACAAACTCCTTTTACTTATCTTCACCTTGTTGCAATCTCTACTAGTGCTCAATTAAGTCACTTTGACAAGTACAGTTCCAGTATGGCTTTTGCATTGAAGTGTACTGCTCAACGATCAATTGATTATAATGTCCATCTCGTTCCAATGGCTCGTGTTGCATGGAATCTTCTGTGCCGTCATGAGCACAATAGATATGTGTTCTTGAGTTGTTCATTGTGTCTGGCTCGTATTCATCGACGACAACATAATCATACTCATCTTCCACAATCATGTTGTGGAGAATGATACACGTTGTCATGATGGATCGAAGAGCCTTGACATCAAACATTCTAGCAGCTGACCTGACAATCGCCCAACCAGCGTACAAGATACTAAAACAATGTTGTACATCCTTCCTACACCTCTCTTGACATTGTGCGAAGTGCTTTTCTTTTTCACTTTGTGGATGTGGCACTGTTTTGATAAACGTTGTCCACCTTGGGTAAATGCTATCTGCAAGGTAGTACGGTCCTTCATTTATAACCATTGACCCAATATGTGACTATGGGTGCTTTTCCTTGCAACACTTCGTGGAAGACTGGAGATTGTGCAAGGACATTTAGGTCATTCTGAGCTCCTGGAACACCTAAAAATGCATGCCAAATCCATGTATCAAATAAAGCCACCGCTTCCAAAATAATACTTTTGGCTCATTTTCTATCGTCATAAGCTCTTTGCCACACACTTGGACAATTTTTCCAAGTCCAGTGCTTCCAATCATGCCAGGGAAGCCTTGCATCTCACCCTTCCTCAGCAGCCTTTGCAGGTTCCTTGGTGTGGGTGTCTGGAGGTACTCAATGGTATCAAGAGCTTCGATTGCGGAGCAAAACCACATTAGGGACTCCAAAACAATTGAATTTCCCATCCTCGTTATCTCATCCACTTGATTTGCAGATGCCCCATATGCAAGCATCCGCAAGGCAGCAGTAATTTTTTGCTTAGGAAGAAGACCTTGAACATGAAAAGCATCTCTTTTTTTTTTCACAAAGTATGGATCATGGTTGCAAATAGCACTCATAATTTTGTCGAACAAACTTCGTTGCATTCTAAAATGACGTCTAAAAACATGATAAAATAATCTTCCAAGAGACCTTTACCTCATTTTTCCCTCTTTCTATCCACGTTTGCAGCACATATGAGTTTAGATATTTGACCCATAACTTCCATGACACGGCTGGAATGTGAGGCCCTCTGCCTTCTATGTTCATCATCTTCATCCTTCTCCATTGCAAATGCCTCATCTCCCCCTTCCTTGAGATTGAACAATTCATCCCGTTGTGCCAACAATTTTTTATGTTGCTCCTTAAATTGTTTAGACAATCTCCTTGAAGAAGACATTGTAAGAACTCAAGATTTAAAAATGATGAAGAAGGATTCTAAGTTAAAAAGGAGGATTGATTTTGGTGTGTGAATGATGATGGATGTAGGGTTTATATGGACAAAACAAGAAAGGATGAGGTTCTGGACACTGCCACATGACACTATGTGATTAGTTGAAAATCTTATCGAAATCATGGTTATATTATTGTAAACAGATAGTGACACGTAGTGCGTCAGGATTGGTTAAAAATCTAATCGGAATCCACAAAATAATACGTTTGGATAATGACACGTGGCGTGACAAGATTGGTTGAAAATCTTATCGAAATCTTGGCTAAATTATTGTAAACAGATAGTGACACGTGCACGTGATGAGATTGGTTAAAAATCCTATCCAAAATTAAAACTAAATTTAAATAAAATTTATTATTTATAAAAAAAAATTAATAATATTTTAAATAGGCTGGGTACCAGCGCATTTTGTAATAGTGGTGATCGTTTATGCCAACGTATTTTTTAGGGATAGAGAAGCATTTGACCAATTTACTGTTCATAACATCTATTACTGTTCACTAAATGGATTAAATAAGCTGAATACCAGCACATTTTTTTAAGAATGGACTTGCTCTAATATATTTTCTTTTTCTCTCGTAAAGATTCCATGTGCATTTGCCTCCGCAAAGAATAGTATGTGGGACCTACAAATTATTCTTATTTGATATTTTTGGTCTAATTAATATAGAATTCTTGTCGACGTATACAGTGTGTTCTCTTCTTACAAAAATTGAATAAGACCTATAAAATCTCGATGAACATGGAACTCGTACGTGGACGGACGTGATGAGTTAGATTCTCACAATAGTATTAAAAAAATATTCATTCCAAATATGTATAACTCATAAGGTGTTGCTTTTTGACAAGTTATATACAAAAAAAAAACTCCGCCTAGGTTAACATTAATATAAATTTAAGTATTGACTTAGCTAGTAACTGATTACTAATCATTTTATGCATCTCTATCATACTAAGGCATCCTTTAGCTATATTTATATAAAATAAAATAAGTTAATATAAGGTTCGGAGATAAAATTAAACATGAATGTTTCAAACCTAAAATCTGTCACTTACCAGAAATAATTATCTTATATCATTACTTCATTTCTATATTTTTCTCTACTTTTCTAGAAATAATTATCTCAATGACATAGAATTTTTGTTTGAAACTATGGTGTATGTGAATTTTTCTAGTATTGATAAAGTGGAACTTTTTATTTCTTAAAAAATTGAACAAACTAAATTAAAATAAACCTTTTTATTTTATTATTATTTTTTAAAATGATATTATTTATATTAAAAAAAAAATTAAATCTCACAAAAAACTAGTAATGATGTGCTCTTATTTACAATAAAAATAAAAAAGTATTAGATTGTAATATTAAGCAACAAATAAACATGCTTATTGGAGTCTAAATATTTAAGGTAATTTTCAATTAAAAGAAAATCTGAGGTGGTACATGCCTCTTGGAAGACAGAAAAGCCCACCAATAACAGAGCATCCCTGTCTCTCTTCTCCTCTCTCTCCTCACATCCATCTCCAACCCTTGAAATCCTCAAATCTCCACCACAAAAATCTCCCCAAATCAAATCTCAATCCACCCCCTCTGATCAAATCAAACCCTTCATCTTCATCCCCCTCCCAAACTCCCTCAAAACCCACCATTTGGCTCAACCCCATCACACCAAATGGACCCCAACCCCAACACTGCCACCGCCGCCGCCGCCCCCACCCAGCAGCAACCGCAAGCCCAATCCTCCCCCTACCCAGCAACCCAATCCTCCGTCCCCGCCCCCCCATTCCACCACCTCCTCCAGCAGCAGCAGCAGCAGCTCCAGATGTTCTGGACCTTCCAGCGCCAGGAGATTGAGAGCGTCAACGACTTCAAGAACCACCAGCTCCCCCTCGCCCGCATCAAGAAGATCATGAAGGCCGACGAGGACGTCCGTATGATCTCCGCCGAGGCCCCCGTACTCTTCGCCAAGGCCTGCGAGCTCTTCATCCTCGAGCTCACCATCCGCTCCTGGCTCCACGCCGAGGAGAACAAGCGCCGGACTCTCCAGAAAAACGACATTGCCGCCGCCATTACCCGCACCGACATATTCGATTTCTTGGTGGATATTGTGCCCCGCGACGAGATCAAGGAGGAGGCGGTGGGTCTCGGAGGTATGGTTGGGGCGACGGCGAGTGGGGTGCCGTATTTCTATCCGCCGATGGGTCAGCCGGCTGGTGCCGCCGGGGGGATGATGATTGGGAGGCCTGCGGTGGACCCCACTGGGGTTTACGGCGTGCAGCCTCCGTCGCAGGCGTGGCAGTCTGTGTGGCAGACTGCGGCGGATGATGGGTCGTACGGGAGTGGAGGGAGCAGTGGGCAGGGCAACCTTGATGGTCAAAGGTAATGTGTATTGTATCTATGTTTCGAAAAGTGGCTTCATTTGGATAACTTTGATGATTCTTCATGTGGGAATTGTACTGTTGAGTAGGGTTTGTGACATTTTCATGGCTTCGTTGATAAATTTAGCTTCTTTTCGGTTATGTTCTGTTTTCATTAGCGTGATTTGGGCGAAATGTATAGCTTCGTTTGTGATGTTTGAAATGGTTTCTTTGTGCGTGTCTTCTGCGTCGAATAGGAGTTACGAAATTTGTTTGAAGGAGCTAAATTTTATAGGTTTCGAGGCATAACTTGTATTTGTTCCTAGAGAAGCATTCGACTGTTGTGTGATTTGGACTTTTGATTTGGTAAGTTTATATTTATCTGTTCTCTTGCACCTGCGTGCTTTCATTGCTTATTAAGAAAATGGAAATCTTGGAGTTGGTGGAGGCAATTTTATAGGGTATAGAAGTTACCAAACATGAAACTTGAGATGGCCATGTGGATCCAAATCTTCCAAGTAGTATTTCTGTGGATAATGGTTGATATGGTCTTACGTACTCAACTTCAATGTCTTGATGGTTTATGGATATGCTTGTTTCGGGAATAGAGGAGGAGGAGAATATGGAATGTTGGTGATTATGCAAAGTCTAAGCATGATAAAGATGTTCCTTTTGCTTGTGGAATAGTGGTGATTCTGATGGTCTTCTTGAAGGAAAAAAGAAAAGACCGAACATTTGCATGATATGTAGTTATTATCAGATGCCCTATAAGTTTCGTGGTGATTGGGGTCAAATTCCTTATGAATTCTACCTTCTATGTAATGGGGAAGAGTGGCCTTGGACCCATTGCAGTAGTCTATAATACTATCCAATGGTCTTCTTTATAGAATTGCTTTTTGTTTTCTGTTTCTCGAATCAACTTAAATGATGTGTACTTGCCATCCCAAATAACTGAAATTAGGCCGCTTTGCTTTTTATTGATTGATTAATTTTATCTTCCGAATGGATTGCCTTCTGCTTTTTCGTTGTCATCACTTTGCTTACCCAGTATGGACTGCATCTTACAAACCTCAGTGATCATGCATTAAAATGCCTGCATTGCAAGGTGATGGTTCAAAATGCTGGTTGAGTTTATTGTCGGTTTCAATTCCTTCTCGGATTTGAATCTAAAAAATTTCATAGCTGTACTGTATAATCACTGGATGCTGCGAACTACTCCTTTTGTGAAGGGAATTCAGTTCCTTGGGTTCATCAGTAAAGGTGACCTTACTGGTTGACTGTAAAATTTGTGATCCTTGTACCATTAGCATGAAACTTTCGAAGTTGTAGCACGAAAGTTTCTAACTCAAAACGAAACAATACCGACTGTTTCCAATTTCTCTATGCAGTTGAAGAGACTAATTTGCTGATGGTTTGGTGCGTGGCGGGCACGGCGGAAGGATACTGAGCTTTGGCAGAGGATTTTGATTTTGGAACTGCTGAATTAATATTATTATTTTTTTCTTATGAGGATGACTTAGACCTGGTAAAACTATTGATCCAGAGCAGTTGGAAAATCACTAGCTGATCATTGCTGTGTTTAATATTGAATGTGCAGTCTTGTATAATTTAGGCTATTTTATCTCATGTTGCTAACTCGAATGATTGTGGGTCATTTCATATTAATCAAACCTCTTAGATTTTAGCATGTTTTGTGATTTCTATTCCTTTTTTCTCCTCTCCCACTCTCAGTCTGGCTGCTTTTGGTTCTGAAATGCATGTCCGATTGTTCATCTTGATTGCCTAGAGGTGACGAATCACAGTTTGAAACATTTTAGCAAGTCGTTTGTACATGTTTCAATTTGTGATTTGCATCCAGAAAAACTACTTTGTAGTGTAAGGATCCAATTGTTGCCTCTAAAACAAGGCCGTACACTAGAGGTTCCGTGTTCGATTCTCCTTTCCTGTAGTTTATATAAATTTAGTGAAATTATCCTTTGTGATTCGAGCTCATGTTTTTATTTGGAAATCCAACGTAAAAGTGTTATTGTGTCTTTTCTATCTTGTTTTACATATACTGTTAAGATAATATGAAATGAATATTAAAATTCATCAATAGTAATACACCCTTCATCAGTTCATCTAACCTTGCCTAGACTCTAGAGTATATTGCCACTAGAAAAGCCAATCGTGTTTACAAGTAGTTGAACGCCATCTAGTAAAAATTGTATGCTGCTTCGGAGTATTTAGTATGCTCGTGAGTAGTAAAGAAAATCCCCTTGCTAGTATACAGGTTTTCTTCTTTTTTGAGTGAAACAATAGCGTTAGTAAGTTAAACATTATATTAGTCACCGATGGGGTTTAAATCCATGCCGTCATGCAAGGGCACAACACTTTTCTACCACTGTGGTAAATAACCACTTACTTACTAGTATACAGTTGAGTAGTTGTGTTGGATGAGGGGTCCAAGATTCTCCACTTAAATTCTACAACCATCCAAATCAATTACCATTCAATAACAGTATCTGTAATAGAGAGCAATTTACATGAAACGAGTTTAATGTCAAATGACATTCTAGTCTACTAATACAATATCATGCGAAGAAAAACTTAAATTTTATTGTTTTCCAAACAGCATAACCTTATTATGTGACACCATGCATCATGACTAAAACAGCTACGTACTATAAAAACATAAAACACAATACTAACACCAGCAACCATAGCATATATTTGTAGAGTAACAATGTGCAATGTACATTTTTTTAAGACAAACGTATAATTTATATTTTTTCAGAAGTGGCATCCGTACATTTTTTTTTTTCTTTCATATTATGTACACCCACGTGAGTGTTTTTTTCTCTCCTCGTATCTTTCTTTGATTTCCGAATATCCAGATTAAACATGAGCGTATAGGAGACAAAAAAAGACTTGTGGAAATCACTTATCAAAACTTCTACATGTTATTATAACTAGCAAATGGTGAACAAAGTTGACATGATTAAAAGCTTGAAAGTTGCCCAACAACCACTCGCTAGCAGAAATTGTTGTTATTGATTTTCAGAGGTCTAACACACAGCAATTGGATCTCAAAACGCAGCGTTGCATTATGTAACAAACAAACAAGCACCTCAATAATTAAAAAGAGAATAAACCCTTTAAACCTAAGCAAAAACTTTTCCTTGTTCCTCACTCAATCAGCCAGCCAGCCGCCACGTGGTCTTTCAGCTTAACAGCTTCAACCATCCAATGCCCCACCACCAGACATGTCCGTACGGGGTTGTGATAGCGGCTGCGGAGGAGCTGAAAGCAGATAGAAACCTGAAAAACAATGCCCCCCGAAGTGCCTCATTTTCGCTCTTTTGTAACCCCTCTCATTCCGTTCTCTTGTGCAGTCTCACCGCAAGAACAAGAGAACCAGCCTCATAGACCCAAGCAATCGAGAGGATCTAAAGCCATGAACTTTTCCAAAACAAAACTCATCCCTTTCCTTGTTTTGATCCTTTCCATCATTTCGGTGCTCAGACTTGTTAGAATTGCAGTAACTACATCTTCTTCTCCTCCTCCTCCTCCTGCTCTTGGAAATACATGTTCATTCCCGTTCATATGCACCAAGTTTCCGGCAGAAACAAATGCCTCTGCCAACACCTCCAGCCTCAGGAAAAAGGAATACCAACTGCTGTCGAATCTCATTTCGCAGAAAGCTCCCTGCAACCTCCTCATATTCGGGCTTGAACCTCAGTACGTTTCTCTCTCATCAATCAATGCAGGCGGCACCACCGTCTTTCTAGAGGATGATCAAAACAAGATAAGCACACTGAAACCAAATTCCAACACAACCAGAGTTTACAAGGTGGACTACCAGATACCTGCAAAAGAGGCTTACAAGCTGCTCCAGCATGCAAGGGAAAACCCAGATTGCGCACCAAGCTCAAAACTGCTTCAACAATCAAAATGTCAACTTGCGTTGAAAAACCTACCGCAAGAAGTCTACAAGCTTGAATGGGATGTGGTGGTGGTGGATGGACCAAGCGGGAACACACCAGAGGAACCGGGTAGGATGTCATCAATCTATTCTGCTAGTATGATAGCAAGAAAAGCAAACATTACGCATGTGGTAGTGCATGACGTAGATCGAATGATCGAGAAGTGGTTTTCCTGGGAGTTTCTGTGTGATGAGAACTTAGTTTCTTCAAAAGGGAGATTATGGAACTTTAGGATCACAGGCCAATTAAACTCTACAAATTTTTGCCCTGCCAAAGGGATTACGATAGAGTAATAAATAACTTTATTCATTATTTTGTCACCCTGAGGTGGAACCGTGGAAGTACAAAGAGAACAAACTCCTTTGATCATTGAGCTTCTCCAATAGAGCAATGGTAAAATGTAGGAAAATGGGACACCAAGGCAGTTCTTCGTGAACCAGCTTGGCATCGAAGATAGAAAGACAGCAATTTCAAGTTGTGAGATTGCAGTCATAAATAGAGTAGGAGCTCTTTCTATTTCTCTTGGGGTACAGAGTCCTAGTGGACAGATCTCAATCAATTATTTTTATTTTCTTTGTAAATAAGAATCACTATTTCTGTGCAAATATCTGTGTCTATGACTGGTGTGCCAAAACGTAAAGATCTGTGTGCAAATCTGCAGTTCCAGTGCAGGGCCTGTGGGATCTAATATCCAGTGCCTAACGACGTCAATTCTACTAATGATGCTGTTTCAACATGAACTAATTAAAGATGGATCTAAACATTGATGTCACCAGAAGAAATATCATTCTACTTGCAACATGCATAAGATCTGAGGCAAAAGTTTCATTGAATATATTTGATCGGAAAAAATTCAAGTTGGATACATTTGAGTGCCATAGTCATTTGAACTTACAGCTATTTTGTACAGTAGCCTAATAATCAAATTCCGGCTGAATTTCAGTTTGCTACCTGCCTGCCATCATACTTCCAGCTCCATTTGACGAGACGTACACCACAAACTCGAGGAAAAAAGTAGAGAACATGCACATTGGTTCTCCCGCAGTAAAAACCATCATGGCAAAATTACTGACTCGAATCAGTTCTCTGCATGAAGAGGGAAACAAAATAAGTGCTTAAGGCGTTGGTAATTCTTGAAGAGTGTGTGTTGTGTTGAGTCTGCCTAACTTTTATCAACTTTATTAACAAAAACACTAAAATGAAAGCCTCCCATCAGTTCTCTGCATGGTCTAGACTGTGATAAGTTCAGTAATCTATAATCCAAAGCAATGAAATAAAAACCACTAAACTAATCCCTATGGAGATCACATGGTGGGAACTTCATGTTTGGTGCCAGGTCATACATCTCTTGTCCTCGTAAGCATGAGGTGGAAAGCGGGTTGTAAGCGAAGAAGTCAACATGCTCAGCCAAAATGGGGGATGGTGTTACTTCTAAGAAAAATCTACTAAAACGCAAAAAAATAGCTTTAAAAATCTTGAATTCGACAGCAAACTTACATGCTAAGATGGAACATGGAACTCACCATTCGTTTGCTGATGTAAGGCTGTATCTTAATTGGCATATCCGACTGACTTTCAACCTTAGGTAATTTTTGTTTCTCCAACTCAAATTCTTTTCTGGACTCTTTTCGGCTACCAGACTGCCAAACTCTACCAAAATTAGGGAGCCAACTGGCATCACAGTCACTCATGACAATTTCCCCTCTTTTCTCCATCTCCATCTCCCTCTTTCTCCTTTCTGCCCAAGCTGCTCCCACACGGTTTGGGTTCAATTTCTTGGACTTCCCCAACTTATTTGATGGGGGAATAAGGCTGCCTGAAACTCGTTTCAGTGGAACACTACACTGAATTTCTTCATCTGCTTGAAGCCAAGGAGGAGGTGCCCCAGTGTGCACATTTCCACTAGCCTCTTTAGGACCCATGGACGATATTTGGGTGAGATTCTGAAAAACTGTAGAGAAATTTTAAATAAGGATCCACAGCTACAACAAATAGAAGATAACTATATCAACCTCCTGAGCCAAGCCACCGAGATTCCAGACAGATGTATATAAGTTTTTCTACAATTCCTAAGAAATGACAGCTTATTGCTCAAATCATGCATACATTGTGCACCAGGATGATCAGCTGAACAGAAGCAGAGAGGATACTAACATATTAAAAATCAAAAATCAAAGATTGATACCTGGAGAACTGCTCTGCTCGTTTGTCATTCTTTCATGCTGAGACCCCTCTCTCATCTACACCAAAAGTATTACATGTTTTCCGATTTTATAGCCGTTCATTTAAATACAACCACAAGAAACAGATGCTTTTAGTGAAGAGTGTGGATGATCAAACTTACCCTTTCATTACTGAAGTAACCATCAGCCAAGGATTTTCTACCATTAGAAACCAAAGAATGTTGGTTACTCCTGATAACTGAGTCACGAAGTAAGCACACATCAGAGAGCATAAAACATGCATAAGCCATAATACGGGAGGAACTTATATTAAATACAAGCCATATGGATACTAAATAAGATATCAACATCATAAAAATAGAACATGCATACCTGTTAAAGCGTTTGAATTTATGGAATTTGTACCAGAACTTGATCCCCCATGATAAGAAGAGGTAGCAACATCTTGCGAAAAGCAGCCAACATTTGTAACTTGAGGGAGTCCTGAATGGGATACCTGATACTCATTTGTATGATATAGTAAAGGCATAACACCATGTGAAAAACTTGAACTACTATTATTTTCAAAAGTATCTATAATTCCGTATTTCAGTTCAGTATGGATATCATTCGATGGTCCAGATGTCGGTCCTCGAGATCCTTCACCACATGGCACAGCTTCAAGCTTCAATGAATTACACTTCTTCTCCCACTGCAGACACACAAAATAATCACCGCTCGTTAATGACTTCTCTAAAATTGACTAGAAGTCACAATTCTAGTATCTTTTCTCAGATGATCACATCACTGCTGATTGAAACTGAAAGCATACATATACCTTAGCAAGTTCATCTTCCGAAATTCTGAATGTATCGACGCGGTCCATTCCTCCACCGTATTTCCACAAGAAATGCTTCAAATGCTTCAGATGTTCCGCGTTCGCAAGGTGATTAATTGCATTGCCACTGACAATTACAAAATCACAAACAGAGCATAACTCCAATGTCATGTATATCACAATGCACAATTCAATTCCTTTCCAACAATGCAAATTGCTCAACAATTCTCCCAATTTTCTTCCACTTTCGTTTGATTTGTCGGCAAACAAACAGGAATTAAACAACTAATTAAAAATTGAGGACAGAAATCTTACCAGGCGAAGGAGCTATCGAGCTCGTCGACGTCGGAGTCGCAGAAAACGCACCAGAGGCGGTTGCGGGAGGCGTGTTCGGGGCGGAGAGGGATAGGGTTTTTGAGAAAGAAGCGGACATCGGAGAGCTTGGCTTGGAAGCGAGTAAGGAAGGCGGAGAGGGACTTGGTGTGGCTGGGTGTGTACTTGTGGCTCGGACCTTGGTCGTGATTCAGCTTGCAAACCACGCAGTACTCGAACTCGTACTTCTTCTTCTTCTTCTTCGTAATCTCCTTCTTCTTCTCCTGCATCCTTCAATTCGGTTTTAGGGTTAGGGTTAGGGTTCGACAAGTGAAAATGAGATCTTCCCTCTCCTCCCTCTGTTTTGTTCGGAATTTGGAGGCAAACGTTTAACAGTCGCTAACCGCCTCTAAAGTCGTGACTTCTGTTATTCCGGCCCGAAGAGGCTATTAGAATTTCATCTGGTCCGTTACCACATTCAAATAAAATTACTAGTTCGGAGCATCGAATTTAGGACCTTTCAATTTTTTTTTTTGTTTATTTGGTAGCTGCAATCCGCGCTCTTATCATTAGGCCACTTTCTATGGTTAAAATTCAAAAATTTACAAAACAAGTTTTCTTTTGCGAGATAGAAACTCTCAAACAACCACAACATCAAGATAATTGTATTTCAAACAAATCACGCGCCGCCATGATATAGTAGTAGTTAATATTTAAAATTTCTTCGATACGTTCAATATTTCCATAGAAATATCAAAAAAATAAGAAAAAGATATGGAAATGAGGGGTGAAGTATAATGGATAAACTCTTAAGTTTAGGCTAAAATCGACATATATCGTCAATATTTCTGACACATTTGTTATATATCAAAGAAGCTCTTATATTTCGTCCAAACCAGTGTTTCATAACCCTAAAGTTTTATTTTAAATTTCCATTGAAAACAATCGATATTTCATAAATTTGCATAACGAAGTTTCCACCTATACAGGTATTTTAAACATTGGTAGTAGTACAGTCCAGTGATGCAATGGTCTGTGAATCACATTTTCACATGGTGTGATTGCAACAATTTGAGTCCCACCATGAATCCATGATCATCTGAACTTTCCCACTTCAAAAGTGAGGTGCCCTTTTTTCTTCATTTGGTCACTTGAGTTGACTCAACAACAATCTTTAGGAATTCAGTTACCTAATTTCTATCTCTATTTTGTTACATGTTGAAAGATAGGTACAAAAGTATAGGCACTACTACTCATGGGAGTTCGAGCAGTGCACGGACTCCTTTTGAGAACTTTGAAAACTCTGAGCAGTGTTCGAACTCTCCTCAAGTCATTGAAATATTGAAAATAAAAAATATGAGCTAAAAGTCTTCAACATGTCAAGAATTCGACTACGTTTCAAAACTTCAAAAGTTGGTTCTATGATAATATATACAACATTATTCTATGCCGCATGAACAAACAATGGTTGGTTCCGAAATTCATCTAGATTCACTTAATGCTGCAAAAGTCTTTGTTCTAACAAGAACGTCTCACTTGATGTGTCTAACACTATAATCATACTAGTAACAGTTGCGTATGAGCGCGTAGAAGGTGAATGACATTCGTAAATGCGTGTTAAATTAAACCTCTCCTCAAAATCTACATTCATGGACAATCGTCGTTGCGCGAGTAGATGCTACAGTACTATAACAGCCATGACTCATGGGATAAGATCATAAGAGTAAGTAAAATGTAGAGTTATATATGATTTAACACATCAATCTGCTCAGAAATAAGAGCATCAAATGAACATCATAAGTGGACAATATGAAAAGACAAATGTTAAGGTTATGTTTGATGATTCAACAAGCATGATGCCCTACATCTTTTATCCCTTTGCTCTTAAAACTTTCTGAAAGAGTCGATGGCCCTGGTATTTGCTAGTATTTGGTATTTCTGCAGACAAGAAATCCAAAGACAAAGGCATACCCATAATGTGGGTGGTCAGATGTCAGTACTGCCTGTTATATATAGCATTAAAGTTTAAATCAATTAGGCTCCACCAGTAATAGGCACTTTTTATAATTATAGATAAGCGATACTGAGAAGGTGAGGAGTCGAATGTGAGGATTTGAAGATTTGTTCACATCGGAAAAGTTGACAATGGCGTATAGGGAGTTGATCTACCCCCCAAAATGCCAATCAATTTTGCAGCAGAAGCTCAATTTTCTTCGTTATGTCATAGCAAGTTTGTTTACGTGTAAAGCCGTTGTGTGAAAATATGAAAAAAATTGTCCCAATATCAGAAAGTTAAGAAAACTTGTAGAGGAGGCTTATAATTGGTCTACTTTCCTTATTGCCACTTAATTTTTGAAGAACTTCAACTTCTTTTGCTGAACATAAAATCATCGGGTCCAATATTTGAATATTCTTAACCGACTGAGCTACAGTAACTTTATTTTGTTTTTGTGAACTTTCAAGATCCATGAACTTCATTATTTGGTTTCCAACTTTTGAGCAGTGAACATCTCATGATAACAACTGTTGGGTTACTATAGTACAAGTACATTCAATTGTTTAAATAGTATTTTTCTTTTGAATATTAGTTAAGATTTTGATCCTTTTAACATAAGTAAATATAGAAAGAAAAGGAAAATCACTTAAAATAACAGCAGCAATGATAATGAAACCACTAGGCTGGTGCTTACATCTGCAGACCAAAAGACTGTTTTAGGGACCTAAGCAGTAAACCCAAGTTATCAAGAAGTGAAAAAAAAGGGTTGCGTTATGCAGTTGGCTAACGGCAGTGTGCTCGTTTTTTATTTTTGTTTTTGTTTTTTTTTTTTATATCTAAATTAAAATAGTTTAGAATACTACATTATTTAAAAAAAAAAAAAAAAAAAAAAGGCGTGTTATTAAATCATAGATTAGATTGGGGATGGGAAGATTCTGAAAATCAAATAAAGGATCTGCCTTGAAATAAATAGTCAAATCTTTGATTACCCTTTATTTTCTTTCTTCCCACGCCCCCTTGCACTTTTCAGTTCAATGTGCCCACTAAATTATGTCTAGCTCTTTCTCTTATTACCTCATCCAGAATCAAAGTCACTGCATTATAGCAGGCAACCATATATATATATATATGTGTGTGTGTGTATCCTTAGCTGATTGATTGTATTTGTGTAGAAGCTGCTGACAAACGAAGCTAGCTAGCTCGGGAAAATACTTGGCTCCTTACATGTAACAAGTCATTCAGAAATCGATATGTCGGTAAAAAAATTTATTTTTTGTCATTGTCATGAGATATTGTTGTAAATCATCAGTCAGATTGTGATCTACAGTTACGTTGAAATGAATCATTACGTGTAAGGAGTCGATCCGTGTTCGGTCTCTGGTGATGTTTCAGTACTGTGATTGAAGCTTTTGGAGCAGAGTCATGACTTAGACCAATAGAAATGATTTTCTTTTTGTGTTGGATCGGAGACATGGGTAGTGCGTGTATGATTTGATGAACAAAAGTTAAGAAGTTGAATCCAAGTGGATGTACAGCAACGATGTCTTGTTGCTGCTAAATTACTTGCCCCTTTTTGTTCTGATTCATTTGCCTTTCCATATCGACATCAGGGTTCTGAAACTTGACCCTCTTTACGTCAGCCCGATCGATCTTTCCCTCTCTTCACTTCACTTGGGTTTCAAATTTCAGTAGTGGTTAACCAAATTTTGATCTGTACATAAAATAAAACAATCTAGGAGTTAGGGTTTTGTTGCAACTTCATTTTTAGATCAACGGGAGAGGGATTCGATCTTGAAACCCTTCGAACATTATGAAGAGATGTACCATTAAATTAAACTAAGATTGTTAGTTTGTGATTTTGCTTGTGACTTTAAAAATATCGTCAAGTTATGTGCCCATCTCTTTGCACCTAAATTTGAGTTTTCTTTCTTAATTATGGTTTAAAATATCGCTTTGTGGTAATTAAGTTAAAAAATTATTTTTATAATTTGTGTCATACTATTCCATTATCTACTCAAGTCCAGCAGGCTAATTTGTTGTATATGTTCAGAAACTGCGAAGTCATGATAAAAGGGGATACTTATTCTGTGCTCTGAATTCCATGCAATCTTGCCCAATCTAATGTCATGATGGTTCAGTCAGTCAAATGCAATTAGCTTAATTAAAATTATTCTCTTTAATTAAGAAAATGATTGATGAACTGAGTAAATTTGTTTGCAGTTGGCCGAGTCAACAAGCCGGATATGGAAGCTTAAAAAGTCATGCTTCTTGGTATTTATAGAAGCACAAATATTGGATCCAGATTCATATTTATATATGTAATTTTTCTGAAATTATCTTGTAGCCTCCAGATAATTATACAACACGTAGTTCATTCGAGTTCCGCAATCAATTCCAATAAATTGATCGGATAGAATTATGCAGAATAAAAAAATTGTGCTTTAATTAAGCTTCATCCAATTAGGTTTGTGTGACCAGAGTTTTGCTACATTTTTTTCCTCTAGCGTACGCCATCTTCGAGTTACTCGAGGGTGCAAAGTAGGAGGAGAGAATTGTCCTCATATCAAACTTCAAGTGTGATCCAGTTTGGTTCGTGTAACTAGAATTTTGTATTCTTTCATTTCTACTGTATACCATCTTCGGAGTTGCTCGAGAATGCTGAGTAGGAGGTGAGGATTAGTCCTCGTATCAAAAGAAAAGTGTCCTTCCAGTTCCCGGTTGGAATACAAATTAAACATACATAACACATGCATAGGCTGATTCTACTCTAAATTTTACAAATTAAACATAAGACATTCATCACACGAATGAACATAGTTCAAATCTCATCATGTCTCACTTTCATTATATCCATCAATTTGTAATTATTTTCTTTGTGTTTTCTCCAAAGAAAAATTCCACAAAATCCAATACTCAAAAGTACGATCAGGAAAGAAAAACACAAAGATCTTCTTCTCTCTGTCTGCCGTCTCTTATCCGCTAACCAAATGGTCCCTTTTTTTAAGGCCTAAACCTTTGCCGGCACGACTGGCAAGTGATCTCCATGCACGTCGAGTCCATCTGAAGCATTGCCTTCTCCTTCATTCTCTCGGCCTTCTCCACTTCCTCTCTCGCTCTCTCCCACATGTGCCGGGCACGCGTAAACTCCGACTGAGCCAACTCCATCTCTCTCCTTGCGAGCTCCCTCACTTGCTCCGCGTACGCCTTCTCCGTAGCCGCCAGTCTGATTTGCTCCGCCGCCTGCCATTTCAAAGACTCCATGCAACTGGCTGCCTTGGGCTTCAAGACATCTAACTCGGAAGTATTTGGATTTGCGAAGACATAACAATCCGAGGAAGAAGGTTTGGCTGGCCTTACACTGATTGATAATTGTAGGTCAAGCTGGGAATCATTAGGCCCTTCCTGCACTGCTGACTTTGATCGACGATATCTTATGGAAGAATCCGACGGCCGAGATGTCATCCAGTGAGGAGAAGGGAGGAGCTG